AAAATACATTAAGTCCTACGCAGCTGTCCTCCGTACACCAGGAAGTAGGCACAAGATGCCGAACACCCTTAGCAGGATGCAGCGCACCCTTCATGCGACTCGCCGAATACCTCACGGCGCTTCGCTCTTGGTGATGTGAGAGCCTGGTCCGGTGAGAACCCGGCGTGCTCCGTCCCGGCTTTGTAGGGATGCGAGGTCAATGGTCTAACGACTACGGCATGCACGACTATGAGTGCACCCCCCCCCCCCCCGGGCATGATCTTAGGGTGGCGTCTACCACGAAAGGGACTCCCACCCGGATGTTCAGGGCGCATGCGCTGGCCATCGTAGACTACGGTACACCTCGATATGCTACTGCTGTTGGTTCGCCACCCGAACAGTCTCACGGACCACGTTGACTCGGCGTTCCTGCCTCCGTTCTTGCCCAACTACGTACGTACCCGCAGGAACACCGCCGGGGCACGTTCCGCATTCCTTTGTGAGCGAATACATCGGCCGCGCCGCTATCCCGGTGCTGAGCGTCGGCATGTCGACCTCGGAGGTGATGCACAAGTTGGAGAAATTCACGTCCAAGATGAACGTCAAAGACGACCTGAGGACACGAAACGTCATCGACCACTACGAGCCCGAGATCGACTTCGACGCGCTCCTCTCTTGCGCCAGCGTTCCGCCTCGACCAGGATGAGAACCGGTTTAGGCTCCGCTAGCATTCTTTGCTACATGTGGGGTGTTTAGGGCGCGCCCTGAACTGGCGGCTAGCCCAGTTAACTGGTTGCGGCATGGACATACTGTATGGGCATTGGTGTTCTTTTCATCGCAGTAGTCGAAGCGAGAACCTTGGGCGTAGGTTGTAAGTAGTCGAGGTAAACGAATGCCGAGCTATTGGTCAGCGCCGTGGCGACTTCCGAGCTAAGGGCGGGAGGGACGGTGCCAGATAGTTGGGCACGATAAAATAGTGGATTACATGCTCTGTCAATTCTAGTACGCCAGAACACCAGGAAAAAAAGGCCTTTCCTCGCGCAGACCTGCTATTCGATAGCACGAGTGATGCGAAAACCGTTCTGGGTATATTCTTCGTGTAGCTCCACACGTAACCTATCACGTTTTGCTTTTTTCGGAGTCAAACGTGGGCCAGCTTGCGAGAGCGCTCTGTGGACACAATGGGCAATGGGCTACATGCTTTCAAGGCAACCTTAACCTTGACACGACAATACCAAAGAATCCAACAGCACCAACATCCGTATGCTTGACAGCAACAAAGACCAACCTAGTTGATGTTTGACTCGCTGTTCTACTGAAACGTCTGTGCACCAGCGCTCACGAAACTACAAACATGTTGGGGTTGTTGACGCCCAGCGAAAACAACAAGCCTTCAACCTGGTTGAATCGGTCTGGGTTTCTTCGCTGGGTATTTTCGCGCGGGGTGTGAAACAAATTCCGCTAGGAGTACGCATAGATCTGGCGAACATACGTGAGATACGGCTTAGCCGCCCCCACGGGCTTGCTTCAAATAGCCCCAATGAATTCCGACGCATTGCATGCTCTGGTTTTCTTCTCAAAGGCATGTAGATGTTCCCCACTGGACGCCGTCTTTCGTTCAGCTCCTGGCCTACCAGCATTCCTTTTGTTGGTGGAAGTCGCGGCACGTCATCGGTGTCATGTGGGTTGTCCCCAAGGCTTAAACACACGACCGACAAAAAACCTTTCGGTGGATTCGGAGTTGTACATCCACCAACGGTGTAAGAAGGAAGCTGGCGTAAAGCATTCGAAAGAGCGCAATTTCGCCGCTCGATGCGTGAAACGGACTGGTTGTTATGCCCACCACCAAGTCCTAGGAACGACGTTGGCGATCAACAGCGAGATCGCAATACTCAACTTCATCACGATGCAAGCTTTGGTGACCACGTGCATTAGGATGCTCAAGATCGTCTTCGGCATCCACGGTAGGCGATTCATGTGCCTCTCGTTTGGCGCTAAACCAGTGGCGGCACTAGCCGAATTGTTGCAGGCAGACTCAACGTGCGGTAGATGAGTGTCTCAGTCGTCTTGCCGCCCGCTGATGACCATAGCTAGCATTTGTGGCGTAGTCTGATTGACACGCCACACCACCATTGCGATTGGGGTGGAAAGAGCTGGTAGGCACTTCGCGGATAGCAAGACGGGCGACAGTTTCGAACTGGCAGCCACAGCTTGTGAAAGTTTCGAACCAACTGGGAGCCGTTGCCGAACACTCGAAGGGCAACCCCACAAAGGGATACACTTATTGATCAGCGTGTCATCTGTGCCTTCGGCGGTACATTCTGTGGCCGTAACCGCGTCCATATCTGCACGGCGATGAAACTGTCCGTGAATGTAGCTCTTTGATGTGATGGCGTAACAGAGAGGGTTAAAGTAGTCGGCGCTCGCTGACACACGGTGGCCAGATGGCAACGGAAGGCACAAAGTAGGCAAACGAAAAGCGTGGCGAGACTACTGTAAGTTTGTTATCACGAAGGACGTCGTACCCACCATTTCGTGCAAACACCCATAACCCACCAGTAGACACATTCTAGGGTGCTAAGCGTGCGAGCTGCACCTAGGTGGCAGGACGCTTCAACATGGCAAACCTGTATGATCCACGGACGCATGGGCATCGGAATATAAAATCCTAACGGATTCATCATTGAGGAGTCGAGCTACACGTTCACCAGGACGCCTGGATGCGGAAGACGGAAGTGTGGTCGGCTTGCGAACAAAGGCCATCATGATCAACATGTAACCGACGTTTGTTAGACCGGTCACGGATCTCCAGAAGAGGAGGTCGACGAACGGATGAAACATGTTCCAAGAAATCGGAAGGAAAGACCGAAGGCCTACCTAGAAGGATGGCACGAATGGTTGCATCACACACAGGTACATTGCTCGCGCCCCCAAGCGGCGTGGGAGAAGCGCTTGGCAGACGACCGAAAATCCAGTTCACCGAAGAATGCAAGGCCCTCTCTATAGAAGAGGGGGCTTCCGTCGGAGGCGCACAACTCAGCCCTGCGGGAGGTAGAGCGGGGAGGTCCGGAGGCGAATCCTCGTGGGCGGTCGAAATCAATCTCGATGGAGATTCCAGAGAGTTGGAGGCTGCAGAAGGCTGCAGAGGGCCGAAGTTGCAGTACATTGGCGTCCGAGACGCGGAATCCAGTCCATGAGCCATAGGCACGGAGGGATTCGATGAAAAACCACCAGAACAACTTCATAGTCGAAACCAAACTTGGCGAAACTGGGGTTGTCGGCGGGGCCAGAGGCGGCGTCGGAGACCGGGGCGGTCGGGTCGAGGCGGGAATACGCGGCAAAGATGAAGATGGCGATTCTTCAGAAATGCCATAAATTGACAGGCAGGAGTGGCTTGCCAGCCAGGACTGCCTGGCGGCGACGAGTTGACGTAGAAATCACTTCGTTGGGGTCGAGGGTCCGACGCGGCCTGGCAATGGCCGGGAGAGTCGCAGTATTCGCGGAACCCTTGCGACTCCGAATGAAATAATGTAGGCAATGAGAACTTCGAGCCAACGTTGAACACAGGTGTTGTTCTCACCCTCCTTCGCAAAACGCTCACGAGATTTTTTATGGCCGGACAAAACGCGAAATTCGTACATCACAAATACCTGCGAAGTCGTTTGATACGCCACACGATGGCACCTTCCTCAAGATGGAGCGGAGTCTAATGACTCTCGGAGTCCGAAGTAGCTTGCTTGGTTGATGAAGACGACTGGGCCAATTTAGCCATCCGGCTGTTGTTGTTCGAGGGTCCCACCAAACCCATCGCGACTAGAATCAATCACAATCTGGATAACGCAAGACAGGAAAGTTGGCCAACTCAGGTAGTAGAATGCACACGGCTTGGGCCATGAAAGGGGTGAAGAGGAAATCACGTGCGTCATGTTTTTCTTGTTGGCAGGGTGTTCTTTGCGTCGAAATGTTGTCGCCGAATGGTGGGGAGAAGCAGGAGTTTTTCAGCTGGAAGTGCTATTTTCGACATACGTGTATTCTTTCATGCATGCTTGGCTTGCCTCAGCGGAGTTGGCAGTTGAACTTGTGCGAGATTTATTTTCTGCCCTGCATCCTCCTGCCTCCTCCTGGGATACTGGCAGGCGAAGAATGACTGTCTCGCTTGGCTGTCGGTGGCTGAAGGTGCACCCAGCTTGGACGGGAAAACCGTCGACTCAGAGCAATCTTCTACCACGGTGAGAATTTCAAGCGAACTCTTTTCTCGACGCTAACATAATGTTGATAAACTTATCAACCATTTCAAATAGCCTTCGGAAGCACTAGGCCCCTACAATGACTTACGAGAACTGCTTAACCTTCCAACACCCGCTTAATACCATAGTAAATAAACCAATCCAACCGCCTCCCTGGTGTGACATCCATCCTGAACATGACACAAATCCAAAAGAAAATCAACTGGGACTAGGACCATGTGACGATGTGACTCGTCGGGCGACCCATGGGACACCTGGGGCGCCAGGCGGGACGATCGCCCACCACACACCCATGCTTGGAAAGTACAATATGGTAGCCCGCGCGTGTCGTTCCAATTGCCTTTCTATCGGTCCTCTCTCCATCTGTTTCTATTAGTACTATGCGTTTACTTCCACGCTCTGGGTGTTGGGATGCTTGGGACACCCCAGGGACTTCATACGTTGTACTGGGACGTCCCTTGCGCGTCGTCGGATCGCCGCGTGGTACGTCTCAAACGCGGTCTCATTTGAAGTCCCACGTGTCGCATGGGATGTCCATGGTTGTCCCATTGGCCGTCCGACAGGAACTTCCAATTTGTCAGGACCAGGAAAATACCGGTCTTCAGCACGCGAAAGGCCATCAGAACCTGGCAAGATCAGTGCCGTTCTCCTTCTTCCCCTGACTCTCTGTCTCGAAAATCAATGATTAAGCTTGAGTTCAGGACGGGGCTACCCCCGGGGCCTGTTTCAACGTTTATTCAACCCTCGACGTGGGTGCCTACTTTACCCTCTAAGAGGGAACCGATTCTCGTTGTATCCTCGGTTTGGTCCTTATCACCATCCGGGCGGCTTTTCAACCATGGCAACTTCTAGACGGTTGACTTTGTCGTCCCAGTAGAGGGAGTTTCGGGGAGCCGATTCGCCACGTGTGATGTGGTTACCTATGCTCGATGTTGGCGACTATTTACATGAAGAGCCAGGTCCTCACTCGAAACAACAGTCGGTTCGTACAGGCGGGTCGGCACTGCAATATTTGGGCGGCGGCGAACAAGCTTGGCAGACGTGTACACAGCGACCCTCGGCATACGCACAAGGGGTGCAAGGTTGCTCTTCAGCTACAGTTCTATTGAGACCGTCCATCCCCGCGCTCGCCCCGTGTCCTAGTCGCCAGGGACGTCTAGCTCCCTGACGTGTAGCCCGTTAGCACGTTCTTCCCTCATTTGGTGCGGGGTGTGTCCAGGACCCGGGAAACCGCCGCGGCTCGAGGAGGTGTCTAGCACCATCGCTACCATCTCTATCTCTATCATCCCTCACTTCGCCCGTATTCTCATCGGCGTCATATAACGACGTTGCTCTCGCAGTGCAAAACCGGAAACTACTTTTGTACGGTTTCGGGTGGGGTGTCTACCCTCCTTTCGTGGGCCTTGTCGCCTTTGATGGTATTCCATTAGAGGATGGCCACGACGAGCCGCAGAAAGGCCATGAGCCAAAACGCGAGGCGGAAGTCGATCGGGAACGGGAACGGGGACCCACCATCGGTGACTTCCACGGAGAAGGCGTACAGCGTCGACCAGGCTGAGGGGCCGACCTTGCTGACTACTGAAGCAACGCACGCCGCCAATCCATTCAGCTCGCCGCATCGTTCCGGTTCCGCGGCGTTGTTGATGGTGAAAGAAATGCACGTCAAGAACTGGGGGAATGTGCAAGTGCAAAGGCGAGGGACGAAATATATATATAGCGTTTGTTGGGTACGTGCGCGTGGTGATTGGTGGGGGGGTGAACCTGACTGGAAGGCGTGCGGGGTGGAGTTAAGGTGCGTCGTCCCTTCCAATAATGCAACTGCGGGCAACTCTTTGGAAAAAGGCAAGATACGGGATCGTCACGCGCGGTTTAGTTTCCCTGTTCGGTCCCTTTCTCCGGGTTAGCATTTTCGCTGCAAGACCCCCGACCGGCAAAGGCGGAGGGTGCTGCTGGTGTTGCTGGCTACGGCATCACACCATCGTCACTTTCACCACCCACCGCATCACATGGCGCATAGATCTTGAACAGAAGCCCAACGGAAGCAATCATGAGCAGGTGGCCGGCGTTGAGCAGGTGTCCGAGCACGGGAACGAGGGGAAGGACAAACACCAGAGTCACCGATGACAGCCTCTGTGAGGTGGTTACGCCCAGCCGCTTGGTGACTAGAGGCACAGCGAACAGCTCGAACACAAAGACCATGAGCCCAGAAGCAAGAAGGACCTGTGACGTTCAGAAAACCAGAACAAATGCATGCACGAGGAAAGATCAGCGCAAAACGGCACCCGCATAAGCCTCCACGATGCAACGCGATAGGGGGTGAAGCAAGGCGAATTGAATATCCAGTTAGGCCGTCTCCGCCCCTTTGGTGCTTTCCCGTTAGTCGTCTGTGACATCTGTATGAGAATGAAGACCATGTGTTTCTCTATTCTCGTTTGCCTACCGGCGAAACGTGCACGCCGGACATTGACGTTCTTCCTCTAGCATTTGCCCAACTAGGTCTGTTCGTTACCTGACATCCAGCAGGACAATGCCCCTTACCATCTGGGTACCCCCCTACGTGATCCCTGTCGGTCCATGCCCACCCCGAAATCCTGCGCAGGACAGGCCGGAAGTACTACCTTTCCGCCAAGGTTTGAAAACTCTTGGCGCAACACCACTTCAACCCAGGGAAAACACATTGCCCCAATTGCTTCAATTTCAAGAAAGAAGGGATATCAGACAACGTTCGTGGAACGTAGACTACCAACACAAGATTATCCACCTGTCCGATTTGCTCCGCCGACCAACCCAAGCCCCCCGCGGGAGTCGTGCTGAGAGCCCAGAGCGCGAAAAGGTCTTCGAACCCAGAGATGATAAACTTCGAGACAACGAACAGACGGATGAGAGGAGGAGAAACTTAGCATGTTGTATCATGCCGGCGGAGGCGACACACAGAATCTCCCCGCCAGTCCCTCCGTCTTGTGGCAAAATCACAACCCACCATGCAAATTCCGTAGATGACCAAGAGGACGCGGACGTGTCCCGCGGCCAGCAAACTCCCACGCTTGAACGGCTCGAGGTCGGTCCAGGTGCTGCTGCTTGCCGCGGCCTCGCTCTGTCCTTCCTCTAGCAACGAGTGGCACCCCAGAGACACTTCGGTCCCGTTTGTCGACGACATACTTCCGCTACCTCTTTTGCTTCTTTCTTCTCCGGCGGCCGAACGGGAGCAGGACGTTTCGTCTTGCCCTTAAGGGGATCACGCCCAAGCTGGTGCTGATCGGGGTAGAAAAACACACAAAGGTGACGCGGGCACCGGCGATGGCTGAGAGGTTCTTGGAAGAAAACGCGTCTCGAGAACAACTACAAACAAAATCGGCGGCCCGATGCCGCACCCTATGTGAGGTGTGGGAGTACGGGCACAACGGCGGGCGTTCACGACATCGGTCGGCATGGGTGCGTGATCCTGGAAATCATCCTATTTTCGCCACCCGCGCGGTATCTTGAGGACTGACCACCTGCACGTGGTTGGTGTCTTGGGACCAGGTTCGTGCATCTCGAAAAGAGTGCGCATAGCCACGAGGCAGCACCATGGGTCTCGCCGGCACAATATTAGCGACATTTCTCAATCCTCACCGCTACATCGCTGTGCCCTGACCGCTACATCGCTGTGCGCTCGTATTCATTCTGAGAAGACGCATATATTCCGGCACCACGAATTCGATCGAAGAAACACGCCACAGTTCCGAAGGTTGGACCCCACCAAGCTCAAATGAAAAAAGGAAACAGAACCGACAGGCTGGCTCACAGTCACGATGCACATTTTTGCATTGTAGCGACCGCGAGAACTCAAACAAAACACTGCCGCGGGGCAACGACAGCGCTCGTGTTGTTGACGTGGTAGATGTGCGGTTTCCCCCAGCACTCACAATAGGTACCCGGCCGCCTTAGGAACTGGTAGCGTCTCCGGCAGGAACAAGAACACCAGCGGAATTGAGCATAGCGCCAGCCCCGCCCCGAGGAGGTTGGGAAGAAGATACGGAAACCTGACGAGCGTCAGACCAAACGTCGGTCGTCTGAAAGCGTAGCGCACAGGAATCCTAACCGAACCTACTTGGTGGTGGTTGTGGGTGTATGCATTCACACACATTTCCGCTTCCCTCGTTCCCATGAATGACTGTTGTTCAGTCACCTCTTCCAGTGTTAAGCACCGCCTTTGTGTTGTGAGGGCGAATCGGAGATGTCATGACTCGAGCAACGGAATCACTTGGAGTTTATACCAATGTCGCATGCAACAGCTCCCGGGGGTAACGCTTGCGGCAGGAATCCCGGCAGGGGGCATATGAGACGACGATATACAGCGCATGCTACGAAACGTTCGGTAGGCTGATCTCTTTGTTTCGCCAGGGGCCACGTCCGTTGCAAGACTACACTCGGCCCGATATTCCGGAGAGTCTGAACGAGACAACAATATTCTTGGGTTTGTGTGGATCAGCTTCGATGTTGCCAGAAGGGCGAACGAGGGAGGAATGCCCCACGGCACTTCCCGGTACTTGTCGCCCACCGCGGTGTGGGCCATGTGTCGCTCTGGAAACAAGCACGCCATGCTGCGGAGCGGAGGAGGCGTGACCCCCCCCCGCTCGGTGTTTGCCATCGGGGTTGGGTTTTCATCGCTATGCAACGACGTTGTAAAACAAGCCGATCGCTTCGTGAGCTTGACAACAAGGGTACCGTTGTTTTTTTTCCTTTGTTTTCTTTTTTGCGGTAACCGCACTGGTGGTCGAGTAGATCATGTTGTTGGGGGTCGAGAACCCTCACTCCGCGCAAAGGGGATGATCGCACCACGCTGTGTTAAAATGGTCACAAACACCCTGGAGGAAGTTACCCAGTGCATATGACTGTCTCTGGAAGTGGAAGCACCAGAAAATACAATGAGTCATTCGCAGCTGCATACGTTGTAACCACGAGATGCTGAACACTCTTGGATGCAGCGCACCCTCCATGCGACTCGCCCAATACCTCATGGCGCTTAGCTTGGTAATGTGAGAGCCTGGTCCGGTGAGAACCCGGCGGGCTCCGTCCCGGCTTTTTGACGATGCGAGGTCAACGGTCAAACGACTACGGCATGCACCACCATGAGTACACCCCCCCCCCCCCTCCCCGTGATTGCACCATTTCATCAACCCCCCACCAGAGTGATGACATGCTTTGGCTGTTAATGGCGGCCCTGGTTGTGTTTGTTTGCTTGTGATGTGGGGTATGTCTAGTATTTTTTCTGTGTGTGTGGCTGTTTTTTTCGTTTGTCCCTTCCTCGTTTTCTTTTTCTTTTTCCTTTTCCTTTTCTTTTCTTTTTCTTCGTCTTTTTCTATCTCTGTTCTCCTTTTCAGTTCTTCCCCGGATGACCTTCTCTCTTTCTCTGTGCAGTACCACGATTGAACCACGGGATGTACATCTCTCTCTCTCTCTCTGGCCGGTGAGGGTGGACTCCATTTCATTTCTGCCCCACATAGCATGTGTGTAGAGGGGAGAGGAGGGCCCCAGACTATCCGTCATTGATTTATATTGGCTTGCGTACCCTCCGGGTCCATTTTATTTGAGCATACCTTTTGTTTCGGTAAGTTAGCCTGTGACCTCGGGAATCGCTCGGTCAAGTGTTAGATCAGTACGGACAGATGAAGGTACTGGGTACAATAGAGAGATCGGAACGGTTTTTCATGTGAAGGCAGCAGCAACAACAACAACAACAACAACAACAATAACAGGGGCAAAAGCATTGAATTTTGCCGTTGAGTTTCTGTGAGTCCATACTTTTTCGAGTGCAGAGCGCGAATTCCGCGTGAAAGTTTCACCCAGGCAGTCCCAGAGGCCACGACAGGAATTTGCTGTACCGGTTCCTGTTCAGTGTTCTCTGGCTTCTCTACATTCAGCCGAATGAAAATACAAGCTGGCCATCACACAACACGACCAACCCTTACTGATCTATCCCGGACTCAATACAGTATCTGTGGAAGAAAGCGATTTTCGGTCATCCCTTGCGAACTCTGTGAACTGTTAATAACCCAAGTGAACCGTGAATGATGTTCCCCACTGGACGCCATCTTTCGTTCCAACTCCTGGTGATACCAGCTTTCCAAATTGTTGGCAGAAGTCGCGGTGTGTCATCGGTGTTTCGGTATGGGGGTTTGCCCCAAGGCCTATACACACGGCCGACAATAATCGTTTCCTTGGATTCGGAGTTGTACATCCACCAATGGTGTAAGAAGGAAGCTTGCGTAAAGAATTCGAACAAGCGGAAATCGCCGCTCGATATGTGAAACGGGCAAGTTGTGCTGCTCACCCACCAAGTCCTAGGAACGACGTTGGCGATCAGCAGCAAGATCAGAACACTCAACTTGATCACGATGCAAGTTTCGGTGACCGCGTGCAATAGGATGCTCAAGATCGTCTTCGGCAAGCACGGTAGACGGTTCAGGTGCAACTGGTTTGGTGCTAAACCAGTGGCGGCACTAACCGAACTGTTGCAGGCAAACTCAACATGCGGCAGATGAGTGTCTCAGTCGTCTTGCCGCCCGCTGATGACCATAGCTAGCATTTTGGACCTATTGTGATCGACACGCTCCACAACACCATTGCCATAGGGGTGATAAGAGCTGGAAGTCACATTGCGGATAGCAAGACGGGCGAAAGTCAGTTTGGGATATACCGGTTGACGAGAATGTCATCTGTGCCTTCGGCGATGCATTCTATGGCCATAACCGCGTCCGCATCTGCGCGGCAACGGAAACGGACCGTGAAAAGCAGAGCGTAGCGTTTCGACGTGGCGTGACCAGGAGAGGGTCAGAGAATGCAAGGCCGCCTCTATAGACGAGGGAGCTCCCGCCTGAAGCGTAATACTCAGCTTGGGCTGGAGGCCCACGACTCAGCCCTGCGGGAGGTAGAGCGGGGAGGTCCGGAGGCGAATCCTCGTGAGCGGTCGAAATCAAGCTCGGTGGAGACTCCGGAGAGTCGAAGGCTGCAGGAAGGCTGCAGAGGGCTGAAGTTGCAGTACATTGGCGTCCGAGACGCGGAATCCAGTCCATGAGCCGTAGGCGCGGAGAGATGCGATGATAAACCACCAGCACGTGGTCGAAACAAAATTTGGCGAGACTGGGGTCGTCGAAGGGGCCAGAGGCGGCGTCGGAGACCGGGGCGGTCGGGTCGAGGCGGGAATACGCGGCAAAGATGAAGATGGCAGTTGTTCAGAAATGCCATAGAGACAGGCGGGAGTGGCTTGCCAGCCAGGACTGCATGGCGGCGACGAGTTGGCGTAGAAATCACTTCGGTGTGGTCGAGGGTCCGACGCGGTCTGGCAATTGCCTGAAGAGTCGCCGAAGACTCAGGCTCTAGAGCAAAACCATCATCCGAAGACAAATGCAGAGAGTCCGACCATACTACAAGGGGTCGGTTGGGAATTTTCGAAGACGTTCCTAGGGTCGTGAGCGGCCACGGTGCGACGTTCCAAAAGCCGGATGGCGGCGGAAGGCCAGCTGGTGAGAGCCGTGGCCCGTGTTATCGGAAATCGACGAAACCAGCCATAGAGGGGACAGCCCACCCAAGACCAAAATAAAGGGAGTCGGGACGAGCCCACCCAAGCCAACACCAGCGGCACGATGACCGATAGGTGTGAGGCCGCGAGAACGCATGAAGATCACGGTTCGTCATTCAACCGCGGCCGAACGACTGCGTCCAGAACGCCACATTCTGCCGCATCGATCGAGAGACGAGAGATGAAATCGGCGTTGCCATTAGCGAAGCCCATGCGATACTCCAGAGTGCATTAATGTAGGCGGTGACAACTTCGAGTTACGTTGAGCACATGCATATTCTCACCCACCTTTGCAAAACGTTCTCGAGATTTGTGGCCGGACGAAACGCAAGAAGATTCGTTTGAACATCATGGGATGCTGTTTGCTTCGAAATCGAGAGGAGTCCAATCACTCTCGGAGTCCAAGGTAGCCCGGCGGATGAAGACGATTGGGTCAATTTAGCCATCCGGCTGTTGTTGTTTGAGGGTCCCACCGATCCCATAGCGACCACCGGTAGCATCAATCACAATGAAGGTAGTAGTCGCGAGCCGTTCGAAACGACGTCCCAATCTGAATAAAGCAAGACAGGAAAGTTGACCAACTCAGGCAGTAGAAC